TAATGCCTAAAACATTACCTGGCACAGAGTCGGGGAGTGAAATCCATTTGTTTAATGGAGTAAGTAACTTAATGAATATGAATCATGTTGAGTTAGATGTAGCTGGAAGACTTTCAGGTAGAGCCGCTCCATAGACAATTGGAAGTGGAGAGCTGGAGGTCAGAGGGAGAGCTGGGATGGGGACAGAGGTCTGGAACCACTGAGACAAGAGCAGAGTCATCTCAGAAGGATGAAGAAACACAAGGGTAGAGAGAAGCAGTATATGACTTAAGAGTAGAGACCCAAAAGCCAACAGCCCAGGCTTAAATCCTAGTCCCAACATATCCTGCATATAAGTCTTGAACAAATTTTTAAACCTCTCTGTCCCTTGGTTTCCTCATCTCTAAAATAGGGTTTTAGTAACACCTGTCTCAGAAGAGTATAGCAAGATTTCAATGAGCCCACACATGTAATGCACTTAAAATAGCAGCAGAACCTAGCACATAGCTAGCACATAATCAATGAAAGCAAAGGGGTTACTGAAGAGAGTCTCATTTTCTTTGCATAAGAGGGGCTGCATTCATATTTCTGGAAGCCAGAGTCTGTTTTCTGACTATGTGAGTCCTTGCCTCCTTGTATTCCATGATGAGCTAACAGAGGTTCTCTCTGCTTTTCTGCTTTGACCTTTGGTGGTTTGGTTTTGCTTCTTTTATCTATGGTCTTATTAAAAGAAACTGCAAAACTTCTCTGAAGGTGTTTTGAATTGGAGCACGGTAGACCAAGAGGTGGACTATACAACAGAAAGAGCATGGGCATTCAGAGTAAGACAAATATGGGCTGAACTCCAGCTCTTCTACTCGGATAACTAGTCTCTCCTGATTTCCTCCTTTTTTAGAGAGGGGGCCTTGTTATGACATGCAGGCTGGACTCCAATTCCTGGGCTCAAATGATCCTCCCTCCTCAGCCTCCCAAGTAGGTAGAACTTGCAGTTGTGCCTGGTTCCTCTCTTGATTTCTACAACAGAAAAAATACCTACCTCAAGCACCTCAAGCCTGAAGAAGAGTAGTTGCTGAATACCTATTTGTGGAATGAATGAATGAGGCTGTTTTGAGGATTACATGTAAGAGTATGCATAAAACGTGTAGCACAAAGCCTAGCACGCTGTAAGGGTCAATCGACAGACCCAAAATGGAAGCTGCACAGACTCCTGTGTTTATGAGTGGCAGCTGGATTGGCATTCCTGTGGTAAGGGCCTGTTTAAGGAACCCAGTGTCAGGTCTGAACTTTCTATTTATTCATGTCATTAAAAAGTATTTTCAGGCCGGGCGCGGTGGCTCAAGCCTGTAATCCCAGCACTTTGGGAGGCCGAGACGGGCGGATCACGAGGCCAGGAGATCGAGAGACGATCCCGGCTAACACGGTGAAACCCCACCTCTACTAAAAAATACAAAAAAACTAGCCGGGCGAGGTGGCGGGCGCCTGTAGTCCCAGCTACTCGGGAGGCTGAGGCAGGAGAACGGCGTAAACCCGGGAGGCGGAGCTTGCAGTGAGCTGAGATCCGGCCACTGCACTCCAGCCTGGGTGACAGAGCAAGACTCCGTCTCAAAAAAAAAAAAAAAAGTATTTTCATTTCATCTTTTAAGAGAAGAGGTTTACTTTTACTAAAGTTTTACTGAAGTACTAAGCCTTCTTAGAAGGTGTACTTTGGTCAGGCGCAGTGGCTCACACCTGTAATCCCAGCACTTTGGGAGGCTGAGGTGGGTGGATGACTTGAGGTCAGGAATTCGAGACCAGCCTGGCCAACATGGTGAAACCCCATCTCTGTTAAAATTACAAAAATTAGTCAGGCATGGTAGCAGGTGTCTGTAATCCCAGCTACTCGGGAGGCTGAGGCAGGAGAATCGCTTGAACCCGGGTGGCAGAGGTTGCAGTGAGCTGATATCGCACCACTGCACTCCAGCCTAGGCAACAGAGTGAGACTCTGTCTCAAAAATAATACTAATAATAAAAAATAAAATAAAGAAATAAAGAAAAGAAAAGAAAAACAAGAAGGTGCACTTAGAGTGATCAGATATTGGTATCAGGGTTTGTTGTGGGCCTTGAAAAGATAACAGAGAAGGCTTGATGGTTGTTCTGTTTGCATTTGGGTTTCCTTTCATCCCTTAGCGGATGGCTGGTTCAGAGCACAGTGGGCTGATAACCTTTTGTATCTCATTCTTCCTGTACCATTTTCACACCACAAAAGCTGAAATGGCTCAGCAGTTGCTTTCTGACAATGCATGTAATCATGTACTAGAAGGCTTATAGCTATGAAAATATTAGTAAGCATTTCAGAACTAATTGCATTTTTGTGGGTTTACCTGTCTTAAGGGAACATTTAAAAATTATTTTTTGCCTGACTGCAAAAGAATATACATTCACTGCAGAAAATTTGGAAAACTGGGAAAGTTCAAAAGAGAATACCCACTCTATCGCTATGCGGTATGACATTTCTGTACACATCTGTCAAATCTTTCCAGGTGCCCACTCCCTGGGGAGGTGTCTATGTGTGTAGAAGCAAAATTCATATCATACTAAACTCATTATTATTATATATAACTGGTTTTCCAAATTAGCTATTGCATGCATGCATTTAAGCAAACTCATTCTGCACCTGGATAGGTACCAGGCACTGAGTGAAGTACAGAGGATAAGGGAAGTCAGCACACAAAAAAATTCATTACAGTTAAGTGAGATTAATGCTGGATGTGATGGCTCAAGCCTGTAATCCTAGCACTTTGGGACGCCAAATCACTTGAGGTCAGGAGTTCGAGACCAGCCTGGTCAACATGGTGAAACCACGTCTCTACTAAAAATACAAAAATTAGCCAGACGCACTTGCTTGAACCCAGGAGGCAGAGACTGCAGTGAGCTCAGATCGCGCCACTGCACTCCAGGCTGGATACGACATAGCAAGACTATCTCAAAAAAAAAAAAAAAAACAAGTAAGTGAGATTAAGTGCTGATAAAGGTATTAAGTACAAGAGAGGAAGCACAGACAACTTGTAGAGGTGTCAGGGAAGCTTCCTACAGGAGATGGCATATGAGCTATTACTAACAGGTAAAACAGAAGTTCACCAAGGAAAGAAAGGACAGGCCAGGCATGGTGGCTCATGCCTGTAATCCCAGCACTTTGTGAGCCCAAGGTGTGCCAATTGCTTGAGCTCAAGATTTCAAGACCAGCCTGGGCAGCATGGTGAAACCCTGTCTCTACAAAAATACAAAAAATTAGCCAGGCATGGTGGCACACACCAGTGGTCTCAGCTACTTGGGAGGCTGAGGTGGGAGAATCGCATGGGCCTGGCGGGCAGAGGTTGCAGTGAGCCCAGATCTCACCACTGCATTCCAGTCTCACTCAACAGAGTGAGATCCTGTGTCAAAAAATAAACAAAAAAAAGAAGAGACAGATAAAGAGAAGGAGGTACGTCAGCAGAGGATGTAGCAAGAAGGCCCCAAAGATGAAACTCATACCATATTTAAAGTACTACAAAAATCCAGTGTGGATAAAAAGGTGTAGGAGCAGGGGAGATGAGGCTGAAAATGCAGGAGCCAGGCAATGATGTGGGATTTGAAGCAGAGGGTTGCCATGCTCCAATTTACATCTTGGTTAGACAATACTACAGCTTCAAGTATGAATGGGGGCAAAGAGGACCTATAAGAGGACTGATAGTGAAGAGGAAAGATGGTGTAAATCAAATGGGAATGGAGATAAGAGACAGTGGCCTAGGAATAATACTGAGCTAGAAGTCACAGAAATCATATTGACCTGGATTCTAGATGGATAAAGTCCTTCTTTCCTCTCTTCCTTCCTTGGTTACTGATGGTCAGCTATGTACATGCAGGTGCTAGAGATACAAAGATGCTGTGACCTAATTCCTATTCTGATTTTCATGGTAACTCTCCGCTTTAAGACTTCACATTCTAGTAGGAAAGAAGAGGTGAAAATTTATTATTTTTACATGCCCAGAGGGCCTACCCTTCTTCTTTGGAAACAGGACTCCGATTTTCCTTTGGGAAGGCCACCCATGTCTAACTCACATAGTACATGCAGTTTGGTGGGAGTACTCCCACTCCAACCCCACTCCAAGAGTAGGTGCAAGAACTAGGCCAGGCAAACAGGAGCATTTGACTCTCCTGAACATGATGACTAGTTCAGTGATAAGCACACGACTCCAACCAGGCCAACAGGATTACTTCCTGGAGAATTTGATGGAACCAGGGAAAAAGAACTCCCTACCTTTTTCTAAGATCCCAGATGCCAAAGACCACATACCCCTTGGGCTGTCAGAGTCCTGCTATGCTCTTAGATGAGAGCCTACTGAGCATGAGGTCACAATGAGGAAAGCTAAGCCAAGAAAAACAGAAAGAAACTGATTGGGTGACATCTTTTGTAAAGTTGGATTTAGCCACCTAGTCCTAGACTTCTAAGGCAAGTCAATAAATTCCCCTTATTTTTTGCCACAGTGAGTTTGATTTGGGTTTTTGTCATTTGTAATTGAAACAGTGGTGTCTAATTCAGAGAGACAGACACAGGATCCTGTAATTGCAATACCACATGTGCTAGGTGATGCAGAGTTATTTACAAGGAGTGCAATCAACTTGACTTGTAGGTAGCATAAGCTAGGAAAATGTTCACATAGGAGGTGATGTTTAACTGAACTCTTGAAGAATTAGCCGTCTGCAACAGGATAAGGAGCAAAAGGAAGGAGGAGGAGCTATGCAGAAGAAACAGCATGAGCAGAGGCAAGGAAGTGTGGAATGTCCGAGGAAATAAAAACAGTCACTATGCTAAAGCATTAAATTCATAGCAAAAAGCCGACTCTGAAGAAATGTACATGCTCTGTAGGCCATGAGGAGTCATGGGTGATCTAATTTGACCTTTTCACCTGTCATTTAACCTCTCTAGCCCAGCTTCCTCATAGGTAAAATAAGGTTGATCAGAACACATCACTAAAATTGATAAAAATATTAAAATACCTTACCTGCTGATAGAATTCATCATCTTTGGGAGTCAGATAAGGAAGCCAAGTGTCTTCAAGCTCTTCAAGAAGCCTCAGTTTCTGTTTGAAAATAATAATAATTACATATAAGTGAATATACAATGACCCGAAATAAGACACTCTCTTATTTTTCAAATAAGAAATACAAACAAATTTTAGCCAACTTTGAATTTATAATCTTTTAGAGAGAGAAATTAGTCAAATCACAATTATAAAATGTATTAATTCAATTACATACATCTTTTTTTTTTCTTTTCTTTTAGAGACAGAGTCTTGCTCTGTCACCCAGGCTGGTATACAGTGGTGTGACCATAACTCACTATAACATCAAACTCCTGGGCTCAAGCGATCCTCCCGTCTCATCCTCCCAAGTAGCTGGGACTACAGGGGTGCCACCATCCTTGGATAATTTTTTTTTTTTTTTTTAGTAGGGACAAGGTCTCGCTACGTTGCGCAGGCTGGTCTCAAATTTCTGACCTCAAGCAATCCTCCCATCTTGGCCTCCTACAGTGCTGGGATTATAGGCATGAGTCATGGCACCCAGTCAATTTACATACATACTAAATTACACATGGTATGAAGCACAAATTTAGAAATAATTTTATTCACTCTCACATTTCATGAGACAATTTGATTCACTTTTCACATGTATTGTTGACATCCAGGTCTTTTTCACCACTAGAGCCAGCTTACAAGTCATCCAATACAGTTTTCCAGAGCAAACGCCTGTCTGTACAATCTGCTTGAGACACAGTAGCTTGTAAATCCTTTTATGGTGCTATCACTGGAAATACCAAACCAAGCCACAAGTATCTATCTGCATAAAGTCAGGATATGTGGAATAGTTATTCATCTTGTAAACATTTATTTGAGATCATATCCACTTACAGTATTGCTTTCTTAGAGTGATCTATCATCTCTACAATAATTACTAAATCTGTGTTAAACATCTTTGTTTCTTTTCTTTTCCAATTCCATGAAGCAGCCTTTTTAAGCACTCAAAGCCAGCATTGTCTGAGGCTATTTCCAGAGACTATGTTTTCCCCAAACAGTACTGTGCTATTCAAACAAAGTAACTGAAAGAGGATCTCATATTATAAAGTATCTTATAAGAAATCAGATACATATAGGGCACCTGCTTCCTTCTGAGGGATATTTTTCAAAGAATATCTGACCTTACATTCAAGAATATACGGAGTTTGTGTGTGTACGTGGCACATAAATGGCATAAATGTGCACATACAGTCACAGACACATAGACATGTACATACAACAGACATTATCTGTAAGAAAGAAAGCAAAAACAGCAGAAACAACTGGGTTTCAAATAAAAATGCAATTAAATGCATCATCAAAGCTACTGTCAGCCAGTAAGTCACATTTATAAAAATTAGATAATAGTACACCTTGCTCTGGGCCAATATAGTCCCACTCCATAAGAATATGACTTGGTAAACACAAACTGGATTTCAGGCTCCACCTGCTCCAATGAACACTGTCTTTACAAAGTGCACAACCTACTCAACCAGACGTGGTGGCCCTAAGTACTACCCTCTCCCACCCCAGGATAGCAGCCTTCTCTCACAAACCCATCACAATCAGAGTAGTCAAAGGAAACGTCCTTTTAGGTAAAACACAAATTCTTGCTGGACCTTTTTTGTATCATTATCTAAAGTGAGGAAAGAGAAAGGGAATAGAAGTATAGCAACCAATTGACCTAAGAGACACAAAACCGAATTCTACTCTTAGGCATAATTCTATTACATTTATTTAGTCAAAGTCTTTGTTTTGACTGTAGGTGTTTTCTCATTTATAACAAAAAGGTTGACTTACCAGTTCAACTATGATTTTTTTTTTTTTTTTTTTTTTTTTTTTTTTGAGACAGGGTCTCACTCTGTCCCACAGGCTGAAGTGTAGTGGCCCAATCACAGCTCACTGCAGCCTTGACTTCCTGGGCTCAGATGATTCTCCCAACTCAGCCTCCCAAGTAGCTGGGACTAAAGGTGCAATGCCACCATGCCTGGCTACTTTTGTTTTACTTTTCTTTGTAGAGATGAGGCCTCAGTATGTTCCCTAGGCTGGTCTCAAACTCCTGGGCTCGAATGATCTGCCTGCCTGGGCCTCCCAAAATGCTGGGATTACAGAAGTGAGCTACCATGTCTGGCCTAAATTATGATACTTTTACAGTTATAATACTAATGTAACACACACCATTATAGATAATCGACAAACCACTTTGGATAACTCACTATTGGTTAATCAATTTATCTGTTTTTCAGTATTAACCATTATTTGGGCCATAGAAAGAACCAATGATATTTCCATGCGCATACTTATACATTTCTCCACTCCATCATAAATTTAATCAAAATCTATACCTCAATTTTTACTTCAAGCTCAGAAATGCTTCCATTTTCCTATGAATATTTTATCAATTCTTAGTCTTTTTTATAGACACAAAGTGCCAGAATATTTATAAATGCCAAAAAAGGTAAACCTTGAATAATTCAAATGCACATTTCTCAAACCTTGAAATGCCTCCACCTTGCAAACACCACCTTAAGATCTCTACGTGAGAGTCCATCAATAAAGCTAATCTACATATAAAGAGGAGCACAAAAGTATGGATTCCCAAAAGTAATTACATACTCCACCTAAATCAGATGAAACAGCAACAGGCCTGTCCCATAGGTCGACAAGTGCCAGTGTAGGCTGAACCTCTGCTTATAATTAATGCTTCAGCTAAATTCTGTAACAACCACCACTTCTTAGTTCATTTCGGAATTGAGCATCAGACAGGTATAAAACATTGTAACTTATAAGGCTGTATCAAAAGGATAAAATTTGACAAGATTTTTCCTACTCTAGAGCAAGCAGCATATAACTGATCTTTCACTAGGAATTTTCATTTTAATACTGTGAGCAATGTTGTGTCTACGCGACAGCAGAGAATGGGGACCAGAAAATCACCCAAATTAAGACCCTACAGATAAAAATCTGCTCTGAACATCAACACTCACTACTTGCAATTTTACCAAGTAACTGACAAGATCAATTATTAAATAACAATATTTACAAACATAAAGAGAAGTTTTGGCCATGTTTACATCAGTGAAATCAATCAGATATCAATAGTAAATTAAGTTGGTAGCTCATAAACATCAAAATTAAAAATTCTTAACTGCTTTATAAAAATCAAACATTAAGATTGTTTTATGAAAAGCGAGGTCACTACGGGCAAGACTAAGAGAAACAGGCCCTTTTGCTCTCTGCTGTCAGGAGGGCAAAACAACACGATCCTTAGAGAGGGTAACAGTCAACTCCTTTCAAAACGCAAATGCATTTACCATGTGAGCCAGCGATCCTACTTTTGATTTATCCTTCTAATATACTTGTACCATGTTCAGAAGAATATATGCACGAGGATACTCATTACATCATGATTTGTAGAACAAAAGTTTGGAATCACACTAAAAACCACTGAACTTTACACTTTAAAATGGTGAATTTTATGATATGGAAATTATTATCTCAATAAAACAAACAGATTAGAAACAATGCAAATTTCCAGCCACAGGGGACAGGTGAATAAACTACAGGACATCCACGTGATGAAGTATAAAGCAACAGTAAACAAAAACAAGGATGCTCTCTGTTTATGAACTAAAAAGCTCTCCAGAAGGTATTGGGGAGTAAAAAGCAAGGCACAAAACTCTGCTTGTATTCACACACAGAAACACAAAGGATGAATGACAGACTATTAAAGTGATTAACTGTCAACAGAGGTGGGAAATGACTAGAAAGGGACAAAGGCAGAGCCAAGACTACTCAAAATATTCCATTTTATATTGTTTTGATTTTTGTACTATGTAAACGTCTTACCTATTACCAATTCAAACATCTAACCTACTAATTCCTCACATGAAATTCAGTATAAAGATAAAGACAACATGATTTTTGGCATTGTTTTAGAAAGTGCATACTTTTGTCCATGTACAATGAAGTATTTATTTGGAAAACTATTGCAGACTAGCACACTAAAGAGGAGAGGAAAAAAAACAGCTCTGACAATTTTCTTTGTGTCAAATGCCAACCATGGTAAAAACACACAACATTAAAATGCACTCTGGAGCACAGGTAGAAGGAGCTCACGTTTGACTGTCAGATCTGGCTAACTGCTGCTCCTCGGCCTGATGTACAGATAAATCCACACAGCTGGGCCCTGCAGCACACTGCTCTGCTCACACACTTCTTTGCTGTCACGCTTGTGTCAAATACATCAAGCTGTTCACAAATGCCACACGGAGAGCCAGAGAGAGCATGAAGCCTCAGCTCTCCTACCTGGCAGGAGAGGCAGATGAAGATCCTTCCACGCAGGCTACCGCCCATTTCCACAGCTCTGGCAAAGTAAAAGAGGACAAAAGACCTATGTGAAACACACCACAGCCAGTCGCAGTGGCTCACACCTATAATCCCAGCACTTTGGGAGGCGGAGGCAGGAGGATCACCTGAGCTCAGGAGTTCGAGACCAGCTTCGGGACATGGCAAAAACCCGTCTGTATGAAAAAAATACAAAAACTAGCCAGGTGTGGTGGTGTGCACCTGTAGTCCCAGTAGCTCAGGAGGCTGAGGTAGGAGGATCACTTGAGCCTGGGAGGCAGAGGTTGCAGTGAGCCCAGATCACGCCACTGCACTCCAGCCTGTGTGACAGAGTAAGACTCTCTGTCTCAAAAAAAAAAAAAGAGCACCACAACTCAAATTCCTAAGGGTTTCAAGTTAGATATCAGAAACTACACCAACCCTAGGCCTCTGCTTTACTGTGAAAAAGTTAAGCTGTATCTGAGCTTGTACATCTTGTCACATAGAGATATGGTTTGAGTCTTACAGTAATAACATAAAAAGATTAAGTGGATTATGACTCATCATGTAAGGGTGTATCTCACCTACAAATGAAGCATATTTTTCATCCCACTCCTGACTCTTTAGCCGTGTCAAGATTATGCTCCTAAGGACACTTATTCTTTATCCATGTATCATGTTCCACATAATACTTCTTCAAC